ACACGTGTGTGTGTGTGTGTGTGTGTGTGTGTGTGTGTGTGTGTGTGTGTGTGTGTGTGTGTGTGTGTGTAGAGATGATGTCTTGCTTTGTTGCCCATGCTGGTCTCGAATTCATGAACTCAAGGAATCTTCCTGTCTTACTCCCAAAGTGCTGGTATTACAGGCATGAGTCACTGTGCCCGACCCAATTTTGAGTTCAATAACTTTACATTCTTAAGCTAAAGTTGTCAGCATTTGATTCAAAATGGATGACTAGATAAATAAGTTGAGGGAGGATAAATTTACAATAGGAAAACTAATCACATTTTTAGAAGTACTTAAAAGGAAAAATAACCCCAGTAGATATCAAGAACATCCTAATCACATATATTGCAGGTCTTCTTAAACAGAGTAAAAACTATTATATACTTTAAACATGTAATGCTTCCAAGTTTCCAAACCTTAACCCTTTAAGGGTCAAAATTCACCACTTCTTGGCAACTGTACAAACTCATAAATCCTATTTTCTTAATGTGTGTTTGTGTGTTGGAGGTATCGTTTGTAGGAAATCATAATTACAATCAATTGTTACTGCCACTGTCTGTGTGCCAGACTTCTCTAGCCTTTATCATTTCAATAACTTAAAATGTACAAACTCAGATAATCAAGATTAAACTTATGTAAGTTTAAAAACCATCAATAAGTTTAGATTCTGTTTTTACTTAGAGTATCAGCAAAATAAACAACTTTTGAACTGAACAGCTGATATACTTTAGTATACTGAATCTATACATATTTTATCAGTTCAAAGGCCTTCTTTTGTTTAATTTCAGATTCTCAGCTCTATTAGTGATGGTTTACGTTAACAAAAATATACACCATCCCTAAGTGTCAACTGTGTCTTTTTCAATATTTGATTTCTATATCATCATCATTATTTTAAAAATCAATAGGCTTATCATCTATGAGTTCCTTGAAATTAAACATTGTCACAGTGAACATGCTTAATATCAATCTGTTCAAGTGCCCCTAAAGGAGGCAATTAGGTTACGGGCCATGGAGGTCAGCACAGTTTCTATTACCCTGAATTTTTCTGCCTTAAGTAAACTGTATTCTATGACATATCTGAAGACTACAGAAGTTTAGTTACCTAAATCACTTTAAAGTCCTTATACAATTTTCTTTAAATTACCACAGAATTAAAATTTTAGACCCTGAAAAGACTGAAACTGTTACTTTGAATATAAGTATTTTAAAAGTATGAAAAATGTCAGGAATGTGTCCAAAATAAGTATACTAGAGTATAATATGCCTTAACTTTTCTAAACACTGGTTTTAGGAAACCAGTGTTTGTAAGAACTTCATCAATGCCTAAAATATTAAGGTGAAAATACATAAATGGTCCTTTTTTGGTGCTTGCTATCCATTCTGAATCACTAAACCTTGAGTACAACTATCAGAGAGCAGAGCTAAAATTCAGAAAGACATAGAAGTCTAGAAAGATGATCCTGAATGCATTTTGTTGCTTTATTATTATGCAGGTTTCCAATCACTGTAAATCTCACTTTGATTTTTACTCTTCTTCTAGAAGTAAACATATAAAATAAAAATTTAAACTATAAATCAATTTTTGCTTTTTTAAATGAAATTACTCTTTATAAGGGTATGCTGATTTTTTATTTTGCATTTATTTATTTAATTTTAGTCAGAGTCTCACTCTGTCACCTACACTGGAGTGCAATGGCACAATCAATGGCAATGGTCACTGCAACCTCGATCTTCTGGCCCAGGTAATCCTTCACTTCAGCCTCCTGAGTAGCTGGGACTACAGGTATGCGCTACCATGCCTGACCCTAGCTTTTTTTTTTTTTTTGCGTAGAGGCGAGGTCTCACTATGTTGCCCAGGCTGGTCTTAAACTCCTAAACTCAGACAATCCTTCTGCTGCAGACTCCAAAAGTGCTGAGATTACAGGCATGAGCCACCACCCCCAGCCCAATTTCTAGAAATTATTGCAACTTCAGGCTATTCCTTGAGGTATATGAAAACAAATCACTAGAGTTCAGAATCCTCTTGTATATAAAATAAACATTAACACAGTGAATTAAATGAAAAAATATATGATCCATTAGATAGACACTTATTCCTAATCCTTAAATCCAAAGTAAACCATATACCTCTCTTTTATACAGAAAGAGGTTGAAGAAAATGAGTGGATAATAATGATTTTTTAAAAAACTTGTGATTATGAAATCTGATTCTATTTGTCAAAACACTTATATGCTTAAAAATAGACCTAATTTTCATAACAGTAATAAATATTCAAATTGAAATTTTACTTTAAAGCCTAAGTGGTTTTGTTAGCCAGTATTCATTTCTAATTTATTATCGGCAATTTTATTGGTAGATGATTGCCCTCTTGTTACTGCTCAACTTTTTTTTTTTGAGTTGGAGTCTCACTCTGTCGCCCAGGCTGGAGTACAGTGGCACGCTCATGGTCACCCCAGTGTCAACCTGTTGGGCACCAATGATCCTTCCCCTCAGCCTTCCAAGTAGCTGGAACTACAAGCGTGTGCTACCATGCTTGGCTAATTTTTGATTTATTGTAGAGACAAGGTCTCACCATGTTGTCCGGGCTGGTCTCAAATCCGCAGACTCAGACAATCCACTCGCCTCGGTCTCCCAAAGTGCTGAGATTACAGGCTGAGCCACCAAGCCCAGCTGGTGTTACTGGCTCAATTTAAAGGTTTATTTAACTGCTATCTCCATTAGGGACAATGAAACAATCAGAATGTTCTGTCTATTCTCTCCTTTAAACATTAATTGCTTTTGTTTAAAGAATACCACAACTCCTCCCTGCTCACCTGGCATCATAATTTATGATAGTAGTACAGTACGTAAATACTTTCTTTTGAAAAGCAATTTGGCTTCAACAAAATGTTTATAGCCAAAGAAATAACAAAAAAAGGAAAATATTACTTGCAAGAAAGGTGTTGACTGTAATGCTATGTATATAAAGTATTTTCAACTTAAAGATATTCAACGAGTTAAAAGTATAGCTAAGTTCACTACTGTCTAGTAGAATTGAATACGTGCATAATCTAAAACCCTGCAATTCCACTTCTAGATACATACCCTAGAAAAACTTGAAGCATGTACATCAGAGTAAAGCTTATATTTGTGTGAAAGATGCACGAGGGGTGGAAAACTGTATCTACTTTATACATTCTGATTTTCCTTAGAGAAAAACACATTTTCAGATTAAGTTGAATAATCTTTGATAATCACATGGTCACCTAATATAATCTTATGAAAAGCATGTATTGAAACTGTCCATCAATCCAACAATAATCCTTCTCTATCTGAAGGAAATCCTTTTTTCTTTTTTTTCTTTTGAGTCAGGGGTCTTAGTTTTTCACCCCAGATGGAATACAGTGGCACAATCATGGCTGAGTGAAGCCTTGACCTCCTGAGCTCAGTGATCTTTCTGCCTCAGTCTCCTGAATAGCTGGGACTATAGGCGAGTGCCACCATACCCAGCCTTTTTTTTTTTTTTTTTTTACATTTTGTAGAGACAAGGTCTCGCTATGTTGCCCAGGCTGGTCTCAATCAATCCTCCCATCTTGGCTTCCCAAATGTCTGGAATTACAGGTATGATCCATCACACCTGACCCTTCTTAAAAAATTTTAATTACAAAGTAACCAAGGCTCACTATATTCATTATAGATAAAATCTTTAGGTGGATGGCAGAGAAAAATATGCATTATTTCATTAATCAATGATCCTATAAATACAGAGATTTACTAATTAACAAAATTCAAATGGATTGCATTTTCCCCAATCACAGGATAATACTCTTAATGTTCCTTTCTGTCAAAGATCAGTTTTAATCTACACTAGATTTTAATCTACAATAAAACAGTTTATTTGTATACTATTATGAATTCAATTGATATAACAATTTTTTTCTTCCTTCCTTTCAGAACTCAGCCACAGAGTCAACAGATAGTTATGTCCTCCTTTCCACATTATTAATGAAACTATAAGTAAAACATGGAACTCTGAAAAACCTCAATGACGAAATATGCAATTCATTTCAATATGCTTAGGGACATCAAACAATTTGAATGTAGCTAATGTTATAAATATTTTTAAGATATATCATCTTTATTAATTTTTACATGCTGACAAAATTCTCAACTCAGAAAATATAGCATGAATATGAATAACAAGTTTTTATTTATTTCAAAGGATTTGGCCCAAATACTTTATGAGTCAACATAATTTATTAAAAGTCCAAAATGTCCTGTTTCTTAATCATTCACTACCTATGAAGAACCTCAATAATATCTTTCACTCTGAAATCAGTTCATACTAAATAAAAAACAGGAAATAGAAACTGTAGTTCTAAATTCACTTCTGCCTCCTAATCTATGAGATCTCAGTCGGTTATAGAATATAAAATCTAAGTTTCCTCATCTGTAAAATGGAAGGTCAGTATTATGTCTGCTTTGGTTACTCCATAAGGTTGACATTAAGAAGAAATCAAATAACCTATGTGAAAATTCTCTGAAAAACATAAAACAAAATGCTGACAGAAGGTGTTAGTAGTAGTAAACAGATATTCTCCGAGGAAGGTCAAGTACACTGAAGAGAAATTACTACATTTCTACCAGAAAAAAAAAAATCATTTGATCTATTCTTCCCATAAAGTTTTAACTTTTTTTTTTTTTTAAAGGATGCATTTAAACTGCCTTAATTGTAAAAAAATAAAAAGTTGGCTAAAAGAAAATCAGAGTAAAACAACTGACAGTATTTGAATAATAAAAGAAAATTTGTCCAAAGTAGGAAGAAAATACATTACTGTGAAATAATTTATGAAAGGCAGTATCAACCCTTTAGACTAAGCGAAATGAAATCATGCCAGGGAATTAAAATATATTCATATATCAACTATGTTTAATACTTATTCTCAGACTTACCTCTGCCCATTTAAGAATACAAGTCATACAGAAGACATGATTACAGCTTTCAGGAAAACCAACTTCCTTCTCTAATAGACAATTAAGACATATTGGACATCTGTCAGCTTCATTATACACCAAACCAGTGGTAGAAGTATTATCTCTGTTTTCTTCACCTGTAAAGACAGCCATATGTGCTTTCAATTCTCCAGACCAAATAGCTTGTGTTTCTAGGAGTAGAGTGGACTAGATACTTTAAAATGCCCTCCAACTACAAAGTAATTAGATCTTAGATACACTGTAACATACTTCTATTGAGCCCAATACCTTCAGAATTTGCTTTCTTATAATTTTTAAGAGAATTGAAATAAATATTCACTAACTTCATTTAAAAATAAGCAATATTTACACGGTTCAAAAGTTTAAAAGTAAATTTCCCACTCAAATGTATCCCCATCCATTCATCTTTACCCAATCCAACAAGTAACAACTGCCAAGCTTCGGGTCCTTCCAAGGATTTTTTCCAAGACACAGAAAAATAAATCTTAATACATGTTCTTCCATATCCCTTTCTTCACACAAATGAAAGAACACTATACACACTGGTCTGCTTCTTTTATTAAAATCTATTGATGAATTGTAGCTTGTTTTCAATCTTTGAGAATGTCTGACAATGCTACAATGAAAAAGTAGAGCTATTTCACAATATATCTGTAGGATAAATGCCTAAAGAAATAGAACAGCTAGATCAATGTATATATACATTTGTAATAGGAATAAGTAACTGCCAAATTATTCTCCTTAAGATTTCTACTAATTTACACTCTCACCAACAATGTAATCAACATATACAAAAGTATGCATTTCTGGCTCATTAGCCAATAAAAGATACACTGAAATTTAACATAAAAATAAAGGAATGGTCAGTTGAAATATGAACAGTACATAGCAAGCAAATGGAAAAGTTGGAATTATCCTGGGACCAAATGTCCACACTAGTACTCCTATCTGGAGACTAAGCCTTAGGACCACCCCAGGTAGGAACACTTATCCTGACAAATTCCAGTATTAAGCAAAGACTTTTAAATGGGGCTCAAGTAGTCCCAGCATAGGTCTAGGAAAAAGCAAATACACATCTTCTATAGAAAAGAATACCTAAGTCAGGCTCAGTGGCTCTGCCTGTAACCCCAGCACTTGGGAGACCAAGCTAGAGGACTGCTTTGAGCCCAGGAGTTCAAAACTAGCCTAGGTAACATAGTGAGACCTCATCTCTACTAAAAAATTTTAAAAATTAGCTGAGCATGATGGTGTACACCTGTAGTCCCAGATACATAGACGGCTGAGGCAGAAGGATCACCTGAACCCAGGAGGTTGAGATTGCAGTGAGTTGTGACTGTGCCACTGTACTCCTGCCTGGGTGACAGAGTGAGCAGAAGTGGAGGAAAAAACATAAATTAGGCCTTCAGAATTCCATAGATTAAATTTATCAAATGTGAGCTCATAATCAAACATTACCAAAGCTAAGAAAATAAGCTGCCTTAAGTGAAAAGCAGTAGAAACAAATTCAGAAATCCAATGGCCTCAAATATCAAAAATTTCAAACACCAGCAGATTCAATCCAGAAGAAAAGAATTCTTGTGAAATGGAAGACAACTTTGAGGAAACTAGCTAGACTCTAGAAGACATAAAAGGAGATATAACCTGTGAAAGGGAGGCTAAGAAATAAAGTTAGAGAAAGTAATAACATTCTAATTGAATCCAGAAGAAAATTAAGGAGAGAGGCAACAAAGAGGTAATGGCTGGGAAATAGTTAAAAATATGAACCATCAGATAAAGGAAACACACTGTATGCTAAATGGGAGAAATAAAAATAATCTATGCCTAGAAGCAATAGAGCAAAACTGTACACCATAAAAGATGAAAACAAGAACTTAAAAGCAGAAAATAGGAAAAGATTGATTGTGTACAGGAGACTGACAATTAAACTGAGAAGAGAACTGTAGACAGCAAGAAAAAAAATAGAAAATAGTTAAATAATATTTTCAAAGTGCTAGGCCAGGAATGGTGGCTCATACCTATATCCCAGCACTTCAGGAGGCCAAGGCAGGAGGAATACTTGAGCCCAGGTGTTGAGGACCAACCTGGGCAATATAAATAGCCAGACCTCGTTCTCTACAAAAATAAAAATAAAAAATTAGCTTGTTGTGACAGCATGCACCTGTAGTCCCAGTTACGTGGGAGGCTGAATCAGGAGGATTGCCTGAGACCAAGAAGTTGAGGTTGAGGTGAGCTGTGATCATGCCACTGCCATCCAGCCTGGGCAAGAAAGTGTGACCTCAACTAAAAAAAACAAACAAAAAACCCTATCAATTCCAAATGATATACCCAGTAAAACTACCTTTGAATGGTTTACAAGAGGATAAAATAGATATAAAACTTAGAGTTTACTACCAATAGTACTTCATTAAAGAAACAAGATTTTATAAGAATCTTAGAAAACTCATGAGACGCTCTTATGGAAATTGGACTAGGCAACCAATTCTTGATCAAAATCCCAAATGCCCATGCCACAGGAGATAAGATAGACAAGTGGGACCTCATCAAACTGAAAAGCTTCTGAAAAGCAAAAGAAACCATCAAGAGAGCGGGGAGACAGACCACAGAATGGGAAAAAAATATTTGCCAACTCTATATCTGACAAAGGCCTAACATCCAGGATCTACAAGGAACTCAAATGTGCCAAAAGGAAAAAACAAACAAATAAAAAAGTGGGCAAGAGATATGAATGGACACTTCTCAAAAGAGGACATATGAACAGCCAACAGATACATTAAAAAATGCTCAGCCTCACCAATCATCAAAGAAATGCAAATTAAAACCACACTGAGATAACAGCTAACTCCAGTCAGGATGGCCATCATCAATAACTAAAAAACAATAGTTGCTGGAGAGGATATGGGGAAAAGGGAACACTTCCACATTGTTGGTGCAAGTGTAAACTAATATAACCTCTGCAGAAAACAGTATGGCGATTCCCAAAACATCTAAAAATCGACCTTCCATACAACCCAGCCATCCCCCTTCTGGGAATATACGCAGAGGAAATTAAATCATTCTATTAAAAAGATACCTGCACACGCATTTTTTTTTTTTTTTTGAGTTAGCATCTTACTCTGTCACCCAGGCTGGAGTGCAGTGGCATGCTCACCACCACCACAGCCTCGTCCTGCTGGCCTCAGGCGATCCTTCTGCATCAGTCTTCCAAGTAGTTAGAACTACAGGCATGCGCCACCACACCCAACTAATTTTCTGATTTATTGTAGAGATGAGGTCTCGCCAAGTTACCAAAGATGGTCTTGAACCCCTGGGCTCAGGCAATCCTCACACCTCGGCCTCTCAAAGTGCTGGGATTATAGGAATGAGCCACTGTGCCAGATCTTACATGCATGCTTATTGCAGCATTATTTACAATAGCAAAAACATGGAACCAACTGTGCTGTCCATCAAAAATGGACTGGATTAAAAAAAAAAACATGTGGTACATATACACAATGGAATATTAAGTAGCCATAAAGAAGGACAAAATTATGGACTTCACAGCAACCTGGATGGATTTAGAGTCTATCACACTCAGTAATCTATCACAGAAACAAAGAAAGGAGTACCACATGTTCTCACTCATAAGCAGACCCTGAACATTTATCAAAATACTACAAGAAAGGGACTGGCAGTAGTAGGCACTGCTGGGGGCAGGGAGGGGGAGGAGGAGGGAGGAGACACCACATGGCACATAACATCAATAGGATACCTGATCTCAAACCAGGCGAAGCAGGAGCAGGAACCAAGGGGAGGTCCAAACTTTACCTGTAAGAAGATTATTTATCTACCTAATCCTGAATTGTACCCCATATCTTTAAAATTAAAAAAAAATTTTTTTTAAGTTAAAAAAACAAGGTTTTTTTCAGAAAGAGGAAATGAGTAAAGAATAAACTGAAGCAAACACTGTCTGCATAAAATATCATCTAATTTGTGGTGTTTAAAAGAATCAAAATAATGAAACTATAACTTAAATCAAAAGTAAACCAGAGTTAAAGTGTTCTAAGGTTCTTTGTTGGCAGTGAAGATTAAATTAACTTTAGAAGGAGAAGAAATATCAATGCTAACTTTAAAACAAAAACAGAAGCAGTAACCCCTAAACCAGTAGACAGCAAAACTTTAAGCAGAAAAGGAAACAGGGCAATAAACAAAAAACCTTTATCAACCAAAAATATGACACAGGAGGAAAAAAAAGAATGTGTGTACTTTTTAGGCAGCTATTTCAGAATTTAAGAACAAAAATAAGTAAAAACCAAAAAACTCCTTGTGTATTTTGAAATGTACATAAGTGAACAGTTTGGAAACACTAATATGTTTTCAATAAACTTTATAAAAATTAAAATTACCTTCTGTATCTTCATACTCCTTATTTCCCACATTTAGGGTATATACAGTTTTCTTCTTCATTTCTCCTTAGAAAAGCGTTTCCTATGGGATGAATTATAACAGAGAATTTTTATGTTTGCCTTCTCCCAATAACATCAATTTTAAAAAACAACAATTCTAAACTGTAATTATTTTACACATTAAAGAACCCAGGACAAGCCAAGTCAATCAGTTTGTGGATAATCCAGTACTACTTTATATTCCTTGCCATCAAGAAGCACAATCTTATTGAAAGAAAAAGCCTTATGTGATTATTAAGCAACAAAACCAAAATGATCATTTCTGTGGCACAGACATAAATAAATACAACTGAAGCTTAAGCAACAGAGATCAATTTGGAATGGAGTTTTCAGAGAAGGTAATAGTTTATGCGTGTTGAGGAACTTAAGGTATTTGAGGAGCAACATACCATGGAGAAATAAAATAGCATTTAGCTAGGCCAATCTGACAAGAACAAGAAGAGTGAAAGTACGCATCTATTGAGGAGGGGTAGGCATGCAAGCCAAGAACTTCATCTGAAAGATCACAGTGAGGGGCAACACAAGAAATAAACAACAATGTAAATCTAGTAGGGCTAGATTACATGATCTCTAATGATTAACTGAGAAGCTTAGATTCAATCTTAAAGATTCTTCTGAAGAACAGTGATTAAAAAGTGATGTAGGCCGGGCTCAGTGGCTCAGCCTGTAATCCCGCGCCTTGGGAGGCTGAGGTGAATGGACTGCCTGAGCCCGCGGGTTTGAGACCCGCCTGGGCAACTTGGCGAGACCTCATCTCTACAATAAATCAAAAATTAGCTGGGTGTGGTAGCGCGCGCCTGTAGTTCCAGCTACTTGGAAGGCTGAGACGAAAAGATTGCCGGAGCCCAGCAGGTCGAGGCTCCGGTGGCTGGGAGTGGCCACTGCACTCCAGTCTGGGCAACAGAGTGAGACTCCAACTCAAAAAAAAAAAAAAAGTTTTTAAAAAACTTTTTTAAAAAAAGATCACATGCCAGTAAAGTACAGAATGGATTACAGTGGGAGTAATTAACACAGAAATTTGCATAGCTAGAGTAACTGCCTATGTAATGAATTAGAAAAGTAAGAAATAAGAGTTGAAGAATTTCTACGATTTGGTGAGCAACTATAGGGAAAGAGTCAAAGAATATTCTGGCCTAAAAGACTAGGACAATGGTGATTATAAGAGGCAAAAATGAGAAATGTGGGAAAGGGAGTTAATTTGGTAGTCAAAAGGAAGAAACTTGTGAGGTAAAATTATTTTTAAAATCAACTCTAACTACTCCTTGATTTGATGCAAGACATATGATGGTAATGACAAGTCTAAATACATTTTGAAATATCTAGAAACCCCCAACTTCATCAGTTTTGATTCTCCCATATGTATCTTAATTAACTGTCTTATTACCTTCTAATATAATTTACACATGGTAGTTTCTACATTAAAGGTATGAACTGTCCAGGAAAATTTCTTATTTGGTTAAATAGAGCAAAATGCAAAGTCCCACCTTTGGTTTAAACATTAACTGCAAAAGCAGAAGATAAGAAACTCTGGGGCAGGGAGATGGGATTGGCAGTAGTGGGAATCTTCCTGGGGAAGGGAGGCACATACCTCATCAACAAGGGTACCTGCACAATGAATATTTGTATACCTAACCCTGAAATGTACCCTATAATTTTAAATTAAAAAATTTTAAAAAAAAACAAAAAGAGAGAGGGAAAAAAACTCAGTAGCACATGTAGAAGGATTTTAAGGTTATAGCAGATTAAAAGCTCAAAATGAGTCAGTATTTAAATAACCAATCAGTCTTAATAAAAGTAGAGTGAAGAAAACTTCCCAGTAGTAGTCTACATTTCGAACACTTGTTTTAGTTCTAGTGTAAACTAATTTGTTTTAGATACAGTCTTTAAGGACAAATAACATAATGATAAACATCCAGAGAAAGTGACTAGAATGGTGACAGCCCTAAAAGCCCTATCATATGCAGAAAAGTAAAGTAGTAAAAATGCTTAAAAACAGAAAGCTTAAGAAGAACATTAGCAGTTATTTTCAAATGGAATGGACTGTTTTGAAGGGTGTTAGACTAACCTATTGATGAAAGTATTCAAGCAGAGGCCAGATATAACCTCTTGTGGGATTTTTTTAACTCAAAGATTTAGTTGAGTAATATATGCCTATTAAATTATAGGCAATCCTCTATGTACAACACTGAACAAAAGAGACAGAAATCTCTGTCTTTACATTCTAATGGGGTGGACAAAACAAACAAAATAGTAAGTAAAATATCTAGTATGTTAGATGTTGAGAAGTATTATGGAGAACAATTAAAAACATGCCAGGTACGGTGGCTCACATCTGTAATCCCAGCACTTTGGGAGGCCGAGGCGGGAGGACTGCTTGAGCCCAGAAGTTTGAGATCAGCCTGGACAACAAAGAGAGACCTCGTCTCTACAAAAAAAAAAAAAAAAAAAAAAAAATTACAGGCACAAAACTGTAGTCCCAGCTACTCAGGAGGCTGAGGCAGAAGGATTGCCTGAACTCAGGAGTAGAGGTTGCAGTGAGCCGTGATCATGTCATTGCACTCCAGCCTGGGTGAGAGTGAGACCCCAACTCAAAAATAAAACAAAACAGTGTGGCTAATAAGGAATGAAATAATGTGGAAGATGTTTCATACAGTGTGGTTAGGGAAAGCCTCTGTGATAAAGTGACACCTGAATTGCCAATCTGAAACAAGCAAGGGCATTCTATGGATATCCAGTGTTTCCAGGCTGAACATTCTCAGCAAAGAGAACAGCTAGTATGAAAGTCCTAAGGCAGAGAGGAGCATGTCTGGTACATTCAAGGAACAATCAAGAGATGAGTGTGATTAGAATAGAGCAGAAGAGAGGAAAAGTAGTAGATGAAGTCAAAGAGGTAATAGAAAACAAGATCATGCAGGACCTTCTAGGCTAAGGTGAGACTGGCTTCTCTGAGTGACATGGGGCCACTATATAGTTTTGAGCAGAGGAGACAAGGAAAAAAGTAGAGGCCAGAAAGACTACTGCAATTATCTGGGGGCCGACAGGCTTGTTCTACAGTGGTAGCAAAGGTGCTGAAACATGCTTAGATTTCAGATGTGTTTTGAAAATACAGCCATCAGGATTTGCTGGTAAATTGAATGCAGTGTTTGGTAGACTGCAAGGACCTAGGATAACTCTAAAGTATTTTAAACTGAGCAACCAGAATGATAGGCTTGTTTAGAGAGATTACTATTAAAAAAATTCAGATACATAGATGAGTACAGCCATTATGGAAAACAATGTGAAATTTCCTCAAAAAACTAACAGTAAGTCAGTCGCAATAATGTGCACCAGTAATCCCGGCTACTCAGGAGGCTGAGGCGGAAGGACCACTGGAGCCCACAAGTTCAAGGCTAGTCTGTACAATGCTGCAAGATCCCATATCAAGACAAACAAAAACCCTAAAAGCGATAAATAAATATCTCAGGCACCACCCACACTTAGTGAATCAGAATCTACCTTTTATCAAAATCTGTACAAAATTCCTATGTACAATAAAGCCAGAGAAGCTCTGCTGTTGACAATTTCAATCAACTTAGTTAATTTTAAACTAAACCAATATAGTTTATTTTAAAGTCATATTTTACTATGTAATTCATAATTAAGTATAATTTTTATATGGATCCAACAATTTCACTCAAAGCATATATCCAAAAGAAAGGAAATCAATACATTGAAGAATTATCTACAATTCCGTATTTATTGTAGCACTATTTAACAGTCAAACTATGTAATCAACCCAAGTGTCTATTAATGGATGAACAAAGAAATGTGGTCTACATACACAATGAAATATTATTTAGCTATAAAAAGGAATGAAATCCTGTCACTTGCAACAACATGGATAAAACTGGAAGGAAGTATATTAAGTGAAATAAGCAAGGCACAGAAAGACAAATACATGTTTTCACTCACCTGTGGGAGCTAAAAAACTGAATCTCATGAAGACAGAGACTAGTGGTTACCAGAGGCAGGAAAGAGTAGGAGGGAGGAGGGAATGAAGAGAAGTTGATTTAATGGATTGAAAAATACACTTAGATATTAGAAATAAGACCTAGTGGCTCAGCCTGTAATCCCACGCCTTTGGGAGGCTGAGGTGAGTGGATTGCCTGAGCCCGAGGGTTCGAGACCCGCCTGGGCATCAAGACCTCATCTCTACCATAAATCAAAAAATCAGCCAGGCGTGGTAGCGCATGCCTGTAATTCCGGCTACTCGGAAGGCTGAGGCGGAAGGATCGCCGGAGCCCAGCAGGTCGAGGCTGCGGTGGCTGGGAGCAGCCACTGCCCTCCAGTCTGAGTGACCGAGCGAGACTCCAACTCAAAAAAAAAAAAAAAAGAAAGAAATAAGACCTAGTATAGAATCAGTAGGATGACTGCAGTAAATAATCACCTACTGTATGTTTAAAACAAGCCAGAAGAGAATAATTTGAATGTCCCTAACATAAAAATAAATGTTTAAGGTAATGGATACCACAATTACCATAATTTGATCATTACACAGTATATGAATTTATTAAAATACCAAATGTACCCCCAAAATATATACATCTGTTATTTATCAATACAATTATTTTTAAAAATTCAGATAGTCACAAGTTACCTTCCTTGCTATTCATGCAGAAAGACAGCATCAATACCACCTGGGAGCCTGTTATAAATACAGGATATCGCAGGCACCACTCATACCTAGGTAAATCGGAATCTGCTTCTTATCAAAACCTGAACAAAATTCATATGTACAATAAAGTCTGAGAAGCACTGCTCTTGACAATTTCAATCAACTGAGTTAATTTTATGCTAACCAATTTAGTTTATTTTAAAGTCATATTTTGCTACATGTAATTTATAATTAAGTATAATTTTTATATGGGGAAATTTATACTATCTTGCCCATTATCCTAAACAACTGAGAATAAAAATATTTAAGTTGGAATTCATTCAATGTGATAAAATGTCAGTTTGAAAATTAACACAATATTTTAAAAGCC